ACACAATGACTAACATCAAAGCTAATCCTGTGGGTGACAGGGACAGGCATCTGGAGTTGCAGGGATAGGAATGATTGGGGGTGGAAGGCACCCAACACTTCTTAAAAGTACTGTATAGGACAGGGGTAGGCAACCTTGGCTTTTATGACTCGTGGACTTCAACTCCCAGAATACCTGAGTTGGCTAGCTCAGGAATTCTGGGAGTTGAAGTCCACGAGTCATAAAAGAGCCAAGGTTGCCTACCACGGGTACAGGATAACTACTTGGAAATAAGAATTGAAGGTTTCCAAAAAGTAAAGGATTACAACTCAGTCTATTGGTTCAGCCAAGTTTTAACAGCCTCATTGCAATGTGTTTCTATGGGGCCCATCCTAAACTCGGAACCTTGTAGAGCCGGGTAAAAATCTGCTGTCCTACTCGTAACTATTTCCACACAGATTATTCAGCTCTCACTCGATTTACTCAACCCGCACTCTCTCACAAAAAGCCAGTTTTTCTAAGCCACGTGTGGCTCACTCCGCTCACGCGTCCCAGGCGGGGTTCTAGAGTCCCCAAAATTGTTCCCAAAAGAATCACGCGACAGAATACCCAATTCTCTTCCTGCTGCACGCACACAAATTGAGGGTTCCCACACACACAGACGAGCTCAGGGAGAATGCGCGGATTCAACCAAAAACAGCCGGCAGACCCATGTCAGCAGCTGAGAACAGCCGACAACTCAGCTGGGTCAGAGCAGAAGCAAAGGCGGACGCTGGTTTGCGATCATGTGCACCTCCTGTCATGAAAAGGAGGGAAAGGGTGGATACAAGCCGGCTCACACGGCCCCTGCAGGTGTCGAACCCTGAAAACAACGCATTGGGACTTAATACCACGAGACCACATGCAGCGTTGAGGAACTGGAGCTCAGTCTCGCTTTAAAAAAACATCCGTCTAACTCAGTGGTGGTGAACCCATGGCACGGATGCCAGAGGCGGCACTTGGAGCCCTCTCTGTGGGCACATGTGCTGTTGCCCCAGCCTTGCCTCCCCCTGCGACCCCCTTCTCTCCAGCAGCCCCCTCTGAAGGAGAGTCGCCCCCGAGCATGGCCCACATGGAACAGCACAACTAAGGACATGGCAGCCAGGCAGCATAGACAAGACCCTGCCCTCACACCCCATTGTGCACAGTTGATGCTGCAGGGCGCAGGCAGAGAGTGTGGCAGCCATAGCGCTGCTGGGCTGCCTGGGTGATCTGCGATGGGCCCTGGAGGCGGTGAGTGATCCTTTGGGCAGGCGGGGCAGAGGATGGGGGGGCAGAGCAGGGGCGGAGCCAGTTTTTGGGCACTCGGTCTCTAAAAGGTTCGCCATCACTGGTCTAACTAAATGTCAGCGTTGTAGACTGTGGCTGCCTTCTCAATGCAAGAATCCAAATTAAAGCATCATCCCGGACAAATGGCTGTGTTGCAGCAGGGGGCAGCACCTCGTGGACCTGGCTAATCTCAAAAAGCTAACTAATCAAAGTTGCAGGGATGGCAAGTTCATGGACTAGAGACCATCAAGAAACATCAAAGTTCTTGGAAGCTAGAAAAACACTGGAGAAGAGAGCAGCAAACTATTGTCATCTTGTTGACAAGAAAATGCAACGTTTAGATCCATTCAATCATCAGGCTCAAGTTCCACCTGGGTTCTTACTGCTGTGGCAAATGGCTATGCAGCCTTTGTTTGAAGACATAAAGTGAAGGAAGGAGCGCTTGTGAGCTCCTTGATAATGGTGTCATTAATGAACCACTATTACTGTTTAAAGTTAGGAATAGATTTCTAGCTGGCTTCTTGTAACTTAAAAGTTGATTATCTCGTGTCCTGGAAGGATAGTGAACAAATCAGGGCCTCTCTAATATTCTTCCATGTCCTGTACTTAGAGGCTGGGTTCATACAACATGCTACTGGGTTTTATAGTCTGGTCTATAGATCAGTACAGACAACAAAGCAAGCCCAAATGAACCAATCTAAATTACAAAACCCTAATTATGGGGAGAAGGGTACATAATAGTTATTAAGTTACACTTTCTTTCAAACTTTCAACACTTTCTTCTATGTTGAAAATGACAATTTCAACTGAAACTATTTGTGCTGTTGGTCTCATGGAATACAAAGGCTTATGAATGCCGGGAATAGGATATAACTTCAGAAATATTTCCAGTGTTATAAACAGAAGTCTGACTCTAAAGAATAAAATGCAAATTGAAATATATATCTAGATTGCCAATAGGGAACTGCGATAACATTCACAAACGACTAATCTGATATCTTTATCTTTTTTTATAAGAATAATGAGTATAAAAGTTACTTTCATTCTACTTGTGATTAATGTGAATAAATTAAGAGAGATGAAGTCAGCAGCATTCAAAGAAGTAAAATGACAGATGTTTTGAATTTGAAAATTCAAATAACAACACACTATAAAGGATCAAATAAAAATATTTTAATTTTTTTTTGCTCCAGTTTAACAACAAGCCCCCACATATTTATCACTGGATATATAAAGCAAGCATAAAATGATGCTTGTGAACTGTATTCCACAGAGCAGTCTTGACCACAATAGACATCCTAAAATATTGGTTATACAGGATGCTTCCAAAGGCATACAATACCTATCATTATTAATACAAGAAAGCCACATTTCTTCTATTTAAGAAAAAGAAAAAAGATGCTTAGACCCTTTAAAACTAATAGGTGAGTCAGCAGCTGTATTTTAATAAACATTATTTGAAAACATACTGGAATCTATTTCCTTCAATAATGTACCCTTGAAATGCATTTAGCTGATAAACTATTAGCTATTGTTACCAACTGCACATCGGTTAAAAGCAAAGTACGTTTTGGCATTTCATTGTAACTTTTTCCTAGATAGCATGCTTAACGTGCAATTCCAGTTATAGACTTTAGCCAACATTTTCAGGGTGGATTAAACGAGACAAACAGATAGCATTACAAGCAACCGTTCATACAATAGCAGAAGCGTGCTATCCTTACCTCAGAATCACCTTGAATATAGTAGCCAATTGAGTGGGAAACCTAATTTCCTATACTGAATCTATCTACTATTGCTATTATTGCTGTTATGTTTATTACTATTAAACATACATTTTCCTGGACTCTGCAAGAGAAAATACCCCACTGAGAAGCTGTAGAATCAGAACACAGAAAGTGGGGCTTTGGATCTCAAAACAGTCACCACTGTGTCCCTTGAACTTAACAAGCAGAGTGGCAGCCAATGAAAAGCCACAGGAGCTAAAGCGAAGAAGCAGAAGTTTCCCTCTTCGGGGTAATGTGTAACTTGGATAAGGATGGAGCTCCACCTTTCCATTACTCTGACATTTGAACTGCTTTGACACATGAAGGAGCACCAGAAGCATTGGCAAAGTCTCATCCTATATTTTCAGCAGTAGGACATACGCACTGTATAAAGGGTGCAATTTTGCCCCTCATGGGGCTATTTGAATCCCTTCACTTTTGAGTTTAAGCAACCTACCTGGATGTGATTTATTGCTGCAAGCGACAGAGATGAATACAATCACTCTTTATGTTCAGGTAGGGTAATACACTGAACTATGGTTGACTCAATTACCCGGAATTGTCAAACCTAACTATACGGGGAAGTCCTTGAGTTACGACCACAACTGAGCCCAAAATGTATGTTGCTAAGTGAAACATTTGTTAAGTGAGTTTTGCCCCATTTTACAACCTTTCTTGCTACAGTTGTTAAGTGAATCACTGCAGTTTTTAGTAACACGGTTAAGTGAATCTGCTCTTCCACATTGACTTTGCTTGTCAGAAAGTTGCAAAAGGGGATCACAGGACTCCAGGACACTGCAACCATCATAAATATGAACCAGTTGCAAAGCATCCAAATTTTGATCATGTGACCAAGGGGATGCTACAACAGACCTAAGTGTGAAAATCAGTCACAAGTCACTTTTTTCAGTGCCACTGTATCTTTGAATGGTCACTAAATGAACTGCTGTAAGTCAAGGACTACCTGTGCTTGCTGGGTTCACACAACACCTTGAACTATAAACCCATTTAAGTACAGCATATTCTGTAAACCCATCCTACTGGAACGACATTAATATTTTTCAGCGATACAGATCCAACTCTTAATTGATCTAGTCCAGTGTTTCTCAACCTTGACAATTTTAAGGCATGTGGACTTCAACTCCCAGAATTGCTGGCTGTGGAATTCTGGGAATTGAAGTCCACATGCCTTAAAATTGTCAAGGTTGAGAACCACTGATCTAGTCAGAAGTAGGAACCCACTACTACATACTTTTTCTACAGATATCTTCAGTGCTCCATTTCAGCTTTCCTTTAATGGCCCAAATCCATCTGATTCAACCCCCGTGAATTATGTGGCTGAATTTGCACACTCTAGCTTACCTAGAGCTACCCATGGTTTACTCTATCCAGTTTCTCAGAACTTTAACTAGAACTGGGTGCATAACACATGCCAGCAGATTTAACAGGTGGTTGGCTAACCGGCAGTCCTGTATGATTTGTAACACAGCCAAGAAGATTTATTTACAATACTGCCAAATACTCTGTAAACATGGACGCAGTGAACTACCTCCTCCCCAGTTGCCTCTTGAAGGAAAAAAAAAGTCCAGTTGCCTTTTGAAGAAAGAAAACACCTTTGAGACAAAGTAAGACCTGGATAAACTGAGAATCTCCATAGACCGTTCTCCCCAGTAAATGTAATGCGGGTGCCATAATTCTGTCATCAAATTAACTAACCAAACCAAACCTTAAACATATTTTAGGCTTATCGATATAATTTAGTCTTTTTAGGCAATGATTCCAAAGCTATTAAAATAGAATTTAAGCGCCAAAGAAGTAATTAACATTCGTTCCCTAATAAATGGCTGCTGAATGGGACGTATATTGTTCAGGAGGGAGAAGCCCCATTAGGACTTTCTCTCCAATAATCCCTGCCCTGACGCCCGTGCACAGATATACCCAATTTACCAAGCTCTCCATTTGTGCTTTTAGCTCCTGCTTTCGCTGCGGGAGAAGCAACTCGATCCCGACGTCCTCCCGTCTTCTACCGCGATTCCCGCCTCCTACACTTGAAATGGCGCGCAAATGAGCTTTAGCTCTTTAAAGGGTCAATGCCGACTAAGGCACTGACTTAGAAGTTGCTTGTTGCTGAGACAAGCCCATCGAAATAATCGCCTTCCTTTTGCCCGGGAAGATTGTATAGACTTGCGGATGCGCCCGACTGAGTGTGCTGCACCCCCCAAGCCTTGCTGAATAAATCACAATTCGCAATGGCCACACAGCACATTAAACCATAATTTATAAAATAATTGCATTCATTGGCAGCGCTAAAATCACAAGCAGAATTGCGGTATGGAATGTTTATTAGGTTCAAGAATTCTAAGAATCCAGGGATTTGAATTAATTCCGTTGTATTTGTTTGCCCATCCGATTCATTCTTTTTATGATTTAATTCGCCCACGTCTCGGCAGTTTTTAGCTGCACGTTCCGGATTATGTTGTAATCCCTGACGCTCTTAAGAATACGACAAATGACTGCCATTTTGCTGATGGAATTTTTTGACCCCACTCTTCCACTTTGGCTATGGCATCGCCCTTTTAAGCGAAAGCTACCTTCAAGCAGCTCAGTGGGTGGAGCAAACTAAGACCAGGAAGTTCGTATACATACAGTATTCCAAGCAGGGAAGCCCCCTCCGCTGGTCGTTCTTGCATTACAATGCTTGCTTATTTTACATATTGTATTACAATACTTGCTTATTTTTTATACTAGCAACATATCAGTCAGACACCGGGTTTTAAGTAGGTTGACCCGAGACACTTAACACCCATCAAATCACGTCATAGCGCAAAGCAGCAGAGAGACTTGCTTGGCCTTAGGGCAGGGGTAGGCAACCTCGGCTCTTTTATGACTCGTGGACTTCAACTCCCAGAATTCCTGAGCCAGCAAAGCTGCAGCGGGAATTCTGGGAGTTGAAGTCCACGAGTCATAAAAGAGCCGAGGTTGCCTACCCCTGCCCTAGGCTGAATAGAACAGTATTTGATTATTGCAGGAATATGTAAGAATCAGAAGTTCTGGAAAAATCCTTGCGCTGCCTTTACTACCGAGAAGCCTTCTGGTTTCCCAAGTACAGTTTCCCTTTAATTACGTTTAGTGGGCGGTACTGCAGCGAGGCCCCCAGATCAGAGAGGACTGCTGGGAGACAGCAAAGCATTGGCTTTTTTGTGGCTGAATAGAAATGATCTTTCGGAGTTAGAAAAAGCGGTAGAACAACAACGGGTGAATGGGGCGGGGGGGGGGAAGCTGGTGCTGACTGGAAAGTGGGTCTGTAAACTCTATGTTCTATTTAAAAAAAAAAGTTTTGAAGAAAAAATTTCAGTTTATTACTTGCAAGGAAAAGAAGAGTGGTATTAGTACCTCATGTGATCTTGACTGAATCCCTCTGTTAATACAATTTAGTATTGCATTGGCTTTTTTGGCTGCCGCTGCACATTGTTGGCTCATATTTAATTGATTGTCCACTAAGATTCCAAGATCCCTCTCCTAGTTACTGCTATTAAGCCTGGTTTTGCCCAATCTATATGTGTACTTTTGGCTTTTCTTTCCTAGGTGTAAGACTTTACTTTTTCCTACATTGAATTTCATTTTGTTAGATAGGGCCCAGTGTTCAAGTCTGTCAAGATCCATCTGGATCTTGAGCCTATCATCTAGGGCAGTGGTGGCGAACCTATGGCACACATGCCAGAGGTGGCACTCAGAGCCCTCTCTGTGGGCACGCGTGCCATTGGCCCAGCCCTGCCTCCCCCCCAACTCCTCACCAGCAGCCTGCCCAGAGGAGAGGCTGCCCCACACGGAGCAGCACAGCCAAGCACATGGCAGCTGGGCAGCAGGGGCAAGACTCCGACCTTGCGCCCCATCACGTAGAGATGATGCTGCAGTGTGTGGGCGGAGGGCGTGGCCACCATGGCGCTGCAAGGCTGCCTGGGCAATCTGTGGCAAGTGACCCTGCGGGTGGGTGGAGTGGGGGGCAGAGTGGAGGCGGGCCAGGGGGCGGGCCAATTTTTGGGCACTCGGTCTCTAAAAGGTTCGCCATCACTGCTATATACCATGTGACAGGTAATTTGATGGACTGCCTCTTCCCAGTTACATCTGGCAAGAGTAGCATGTCTGCTAAGGAGTATTATCTGACAAGGTCCAGAAATACTTTTAGAGGGCATCTGTCCTGGCTCTGACCTTGCTGGCTTTTCAGAAAGCTCAGGCTTCAGTCGTGGATCACAGCCCTTCAGCGATTATGCTAAAGGCGGTAAATGATGTTTATACCACTGCTGCATATGTTTTATACTTTTAATATAGTTTTATCATAGCTTTATATGCTTTGATGGTTTTTATTTCTATTTTGCTATTTGAAAAGTATTCCAATTAACAAGCAGCTAGAAAAGAACAGGAAAGATGTGCTTTATTCTATCATAATAAAAGGAAAGAAAGAAAAGTGATTACAGGAATTAAAAGGGATTAACAGTTTTCATGGTAGTGATCCGTAATGTCTTATACTGCCATTCAGCCACTGCTATGGCAATATAAAGCATTATTGGTATGTTGACATTATGCTAGCTAGACAATGCTATAAATAACTAGAGTAGAAATGGCCAAAATGGGGTACTTCAGTAAGTGGATTTGGGAACCAGTATGTATATGACATACAAAAATTAGTTTTCCAGCCATAATATCAAACGGGAGACCATAGAAATAGAAGTTAAATGAAGGTGTCTGTCTCCTCTCAAGGCTGATAATCTACCTGAAAGATGCACAATTATTTAGAGGATATGGAGATAAACATCACTAGAAGAAATCTAGGAGCTTTGTTTACTTCTTGTTTTTTGATGAAAGGGAAGGGAGGGTGAGGGGACAACAGGGGCAGGGAACTTTAGCTTTTGAAACCTAATAGATTCTAAAAAGAAGCAAATGGTATGACCTACATTCATATCCAAGTTCAGGGGCTGAACATATAACTAAAAAAACCCCACCATATGATTTGACAAATCACACCATGATTTGTTTAGTTACATGTTTCTGTCGTGTTGTGGTACCATAGTTAAAAAGCCTTCTGGATTTATTTATATATTTATTTGATTTATTGTATATAGCTGCCCATCTCATATAAGTGACTCTGGGTGGCTTACAGGATTAAGAACATAAACCCACCAAGTATAACCCCACTGCTCAAGGATAAACAATGACCCTACTCACTAGCAGTAGTAAACCTGACCCAAAACCTGCAGAAAAAAGTCCCCAAAACCAGGGGCTCTTAAACCCACAGTTATTCTGTCTTGCCAGGGTTGAACCTGTTTTCAGACCCTCACAGCATCATTTGGTTGGTCCAGGGAGGAGATGTACAACTGGGTTTCATATGTGTACTGATGACCCTATACTTCCTGCTAATGGATTATCTCATCCAGTGGCTTCATGTAGATATTAAATAGGAGTAAGGAAATGGTAGAGCCTTGAGGCATCCCACAAAGCAGGGGTCTCAGGCGTGACCTCTCCTACCAACACCAGCTGGAGTCAGCTCTGGAGCAGAAGACATAACACAATGCTTTCCACTCCCAATCCACTAAACGTGAGCTGGAAATATAATGAATATTGAAATCAACTGGGAGATTAAGAGCGTTTAGGGTAGATGCATTATGCCCATCTTGAGCTCATCAGAGATAATCCACAAACATGATCAGTGCTGTCTCGGTACTATAATCAGGTCTGAAGCATGACTGAAAAGGGTACAGATGGATCTCTCTCTCTCACCACATAAATATACAGACTCAGAGAATGTGTGTACGTATGTATACTGTATATACTCCCTGACACACATATTCTTTTATTATTTATAGCATCTAGCTTGCTTTATTAATGTTACACACATAGCTTTTAAATGTACAATTACAGGTAGTCCTTGACTTACAACCATAATTGAGCTCAAAATTTCTGTTGCTGAACTAGACATTTAAGTGAACTTTGACCCTTTTTATGACCTTTCTTGCCACAGTTGTTAAGTGAATCACTGCAGTTGTTAAGTTAGTAACAGTTGTTAAGTGAATCTGGCTTTGCTTTTCAGGTCACAAAAAGTGATCACATGACCCCAAGACACTGCAGCCATAATAAATATGAGTCAGTTGTCAAACATCTGAATTTTGATCACGTGACCAAGGGGATGCTGCAACAGTTGTGTCAAAAACAGTCATAAATCATTTTTTCAGTGCTGTTGCAATTTCGAACAGTCACTAAACGAACTGTTGTAAATCAAGGACTACATGTGTTTTATCATCCTCCCAGCAGACACTGTTAAATAATGTAAGAGAACTTGCAGGAGTATAATGCATGACAATAACTATGAGAATATTGTTCATGTGTTCATGCAAGGCACACTTTATATTTGCCAAATATAAATATTTCCATGGGAATTCACAAGAGTAATAAATAAATAATTGGATGCATTAAAAATAACAGACAATGTTAGTATAAATGAGAATGGTGCATTAAGAGACCTTTCTCACTCCCTTTAATTCTCTCTCTTTTTTTCATTTCATTTAATTCATTATATAATATACTTGTGAAAGCCTTTACTAGGGTTTGTGTGGATACACAGCATGGAGGTACTAATGTTTTGTTTGGGATTGTCAATTACTGTTTTTTTTTTTTTACCTAGCAAGATTTTATAAATTGACATCCTTAATGATAGAGGTTAATTTAATTGTATTATATAAAAGTCTTTACAAGAAAATTTTCTGAACATACAGCATTGAGTCATGATGTTTTGTTTGTCATTGTCAATTATGTATTTTAATCCTAGCAACATTTTACAGATTGAGCTGCTTGATCTTAGAGACTGAGGTAAAAAATTAGGATTGTCATTTCCTAGGCATATAAATCAAATGGGCAATACATTGGAATTTAATTAAAATGGCCTCTTTTTATATTCTGATAAGCCATATGTGTGCATTCAGGACAGAATATAAACTTTATGTGTATTTTAAAATACACTCGACTTTGCAATAAAATTCAGTCATCCTGGCTTTAAGGCAGCATTTTATCTTCCAATTTCAAACATAACCGACCAGATAAGAACCCTGCTAGATAAGAAGTAGGATCTTAATGTAGTATTTTGTTTGTGGTGCCCGCAAACAGCCATGGAAACAATCAGTCTCTCTCCAGTAACTGTAGATGCTGCTGAAAGAAACATTCAGCCAGCTGTACATTAGACAGCCTTTACTTGCAAATACCAGAGTGGGCCAGGTTGAATGTTGAATAGCTGTTTCTCTGTTCCATTCTATGCAGTGATGAACCAGTTCCTTTCCTAATATTTGCTAGTATCAGTCCAGCTAAGGTTTTGTATGTGGAACAAGAGAGGGAATTTTGTTCTCCTTTCACTTACATTCAAAATGTATTTAGCTGACCACCCACAATAATTCTGAAACTGAAAGATTGAGTAGTGCATAGATCTGTTTGTAGGTTTAGTTTCCTATACAATTCCCTAGTATAATTGTATTAAAGAAGAAAGCACCATTATATTCAGTATAGATTTTGGAATCAGTGGAAATCTCTGTATTTTGAGTCATATGAGTCTTTGGGCCGAATAGAGACTCGTGCGATTTAGACATGAACGTATAAAATACTGAATTATTTTTCTGCATCATGCTAAGTTCCTCTTCCTTACTGTAATCGTAAATTTGTCAGATTTCTCTGATGCAGAGCTATTAGCAAAAAATTGTAGCATTTAATTAAATAAATAAATTCCAACACAACAACTAAAAGAATTATTTATACCTGTGAAACAGAAAGTTAAACAGCTCGTTGAAAAAGATGAACATCTTGGCCACACGAGTGGCAGGAGAAATAAAAGCAAGACATAAAAAATAAATTGTCATATCCTGTAAATAATCTGAATGGAATAATTTCTAACTGCAGTGCAAATCAATCCGAATAAAATGACTCTGGTGGAGTGATTCCAAGTTAATTTTGGTGACTGACCTTGAATTTACACCATTTTTGTTATAACAGTTGTAGAGAGATTGAGAGAGAAAAAACAGTTCACACCAAAACATCTGAAAATAGGATCTACCTCAAATATTAATACCGCAGAATTCATAAGCATGCCCCAGACATCATCTGCTATACCCTCCCTCCCCACTTTTCTTTTGAGATATTGGTCACCCATTTTTTCATTCCAATAGTTTGTCTGTGAAATCTCTTAAAACGCATCTACTATTAGAACTTCCTGACCAGTAAATAAACCACTTTGTACTCACATTTTGGCCTTTCTTAATTTGGCCCCCTCCAATATATTGGATTGCAACTCCTAGATCTCAGTAAGCCCAATGATATCTGGGAATACTTTGGAACTGCACTTCCAACCTATTTGGTTGGAAAAGCTGCTGTTAAAGATAAGGAGCCTTAAAAAAACCACCCTGCAGGGTAAAATAAATAGTTCACCTAACTACGAGAGAAATTCTGCTGGACCAAATTAGTTGGCATCGTATTTACAACATATAGCAATTAGAAACTTTTGGAAAGTCCAGAAAGCAGCATTCAAGGCTCTTACACAGGGATATATAGTTGTTCTATCTATAAAACAAGGTGATTCAACCCTCCTCCCATCAGATCTTGGTCTCCCGCTTTAAATAGCTGAGTATACGTATGCTGATACTCCCTCCCCAAAAAGAAAAATTAATAGATCAGCCAAAAGCTTCCCTATCCTTAACTTTTTCTAAAAGCCGTACTCATTTTTTGTCAGCAAGAACTGGAAGATTGCTCCAATGTGGGGTGCCTAGTGCTCCCTGAACTTGCAGCCAAGCTTAGAGAGTACCAAGGACCCCACAGTTCAACCCTGAGCTGCAAATATTCTCTTATTGATCGTTCTAATTTTTTAATTTTTAAAAAAATCTTACTCATTTTTTCAAGCAATTTTTCTGAACTTTTGAAACAGATACTCCAGTAAAGATGCCAGATTTCCTGACAAGATGTATATTTTTTAGAAGACCAATAATTTATATGTGAATCTTTTAATATTGGCCAAGCGTGTACACTCTACTAAATCATAATGTGGTTACTTCAGATTTGACATAGCACGGTGCTAGAATCTGGTCGTTCTAGTTTATAGTATAGGACAGTGGTTCTCAACCTTTCTAATGCCGTGACCCCATAATACAGTTCCCCATGTTGTGGTGACCCCCAACCACTTATACATCACTGGGTATCAGGGGCGTGGCCAAAGAAAAGGGGGGAAAAATGGCTGACAGCCTTGTTTGGCGACCCCCATGAAATGATCGTTTGACCCCAAATGGGGTCCCGACCCACAGGTTGAGAACCACGGGTATAGGATGATGTACTGTATGAAACCAATCACTGGGCAACAAATTATGCTTTTAAAATACAGCTTAGCCTGCTGAGTAAGCCAAGCCATAGAGGTATAAACCTGACTTCCATGGAAGCAAGGTGAGCTATGAATGGAAGATTGTAAGATTTTGTATTACTAAGCACGCTGATCAGACCAGAGATTAGTTTTCATTAATGAAGAGGCTGGATTTAGGGGCTCTTGAGTGTATACTGTTTCATTTGTTAATTTGATAAAGAATAGTAGTAGTTTGGTTTGGTTTGGTCAGAGTTTATGCTCTTCCTTATTTTGAGCATCTGAGCAAAATTTTAAGTTCTAAAAAGTACATCATCTTTAATAGCTTTATTGATTCTCCATATTGAGGTCCTAGAGGATTCTACAAAAAAGGACGATTTCCATGCAATGTCTTGATAGCAAATAGGAAAAGGGAGGTGAAATGGTATCAAAGAATATGATGGAATAGACTACGATAGCAATGAAAAATTGAGCCCACAACATTTCACAGGTTCTATGGCTGAGCCTACAGTTTAAAAAGCGATTCATAAAATGTGGTTTTGATGAGGAGAAGATTATAGAGATTTATATTCAACATCAAGTCTCCTTTGTGTTCAATTTATTCTTCTCACCTCTTGCCCTAAATTTGCCTTTGAGGATGAAGTCACGGGGCTTGAAAGTTTAATTTCAAATTAGGCTAAACTCAGACTGATGGAATAGTTTCAAACTGCTTAAAGTAGAATTCCCATATGTGTGGTAGGCTAGCTGACAATTAGATAGCAGCAGAGAGAAACATAAAATACTTTTGATGCCATCTGTTGGCTGTCACGATTTCTGCAGTCCAGATATGGCAACCCTATCCTAAAAGACAAGTGAAACCATGCCCTAATTCTATTTCACTTCATTTTTTTAGCACTGGGATAAATTATGTGGGGTAATGAGGAAAATGAAAGAGCAGTAGCAGTAGCATCTGATGGAAAGAGATGACACATATGTAAACATATCAATAAATACTTTAAATAAAAAGCTAGATTCTTCCCCCCCTTAGGAAACTTATTTTGATTTAGTGATTGTTTGAAATGGGTGTTATAAGGTGTTCCTACCTAAGCTGCTAAATCCCTACCTGGCATTTTGAATTTTATAGTGGAGCTTTGTATTGCGTAGCACACACACACACAAAAAAAAATCCAAAGCTGGCACTAGCAGCAGGTCCAAGATCAGCACTGAGCATATTGAGGTCACTACCCAAGATGCCAGGAATTGAACTGAGACCTTCTCTATGTAAACACATGCTTTATTCAGTGATGTGTGTTCCCTGCTGGGGTTCTGACTCTGGCTCTGCATTTGCTTCCCCCCCAAATTATTTCTCACGTATGCACAAGCCAAAATTATATATGTATATATTCTACATGGCCACAAGTCACTTGCTCTTTCTCAATACTCTCACCATCCTATGTCAATAGGTAATCTGAGCATGATTCCTCCAAGGGGGAAGCTACTTTCATGGAACGAAAGAATTGTTCCTCTTATTCAAGTCCTCAAACCCACTAGAGCCAAGGGTTCATACCTCACTGGCACAGCCCACAAAGCTGGAGCCAGAATATTAAGAGCAGCAGGGGAAATGAAACATGCCAGTGGCAAACTCACAAAGAACTCTAGCAATCCCACACTAAACAATCTGCCTCCCACAACAACTCAGGAGCAGAAGGGAGAGCAGCGAGGTCTGCAAAGGGTGACTCAGCACAAGAGATGTGAAGGGAATGCAAGTTTTGCAAGAATTCAAAGCAGAGTTATTATTCTCTTATACCTTTGGTTTCCCCCCACAAAGCAGTTTTTAAGACTTCTCACTGCAAAAGAAATCGTTTAAAAATCAGGCAATGACATAGTCCCCCTCCCCTCCCAACCGCACTCTCTGCATTCTATTATCCCATTTTTTGTGTTTCTGTTACTTTGTTTTTATGAGAGAGAAAGACTGGATAACATATTTTCCTCCTCTGATTTGTGCCTCCTTTGTGCAACCACTTCCCACTGGCCAGGAGCAATAACAGTCTGTATACTGGGCCAGTTATTCTGCCCCATCTCACCCCAGAGCAGGGGTGTGTGTATGTGCTATGGTTGTGCCACCCTATGGTCATTGTTTATAGTGCTTGGGTCTTCAGCTCAATAGGATCCCCTGGAGGGTCTCTGGATGTACTGGTTTCAATAGGCCGATCACCTTTGAGAATAGACAGACGTTCTGAGATACTACGCATCCGAGGGAATAAGATGAAGTCGTACAAAAAGGCACCCATCAAACCACCAATAATTGGTCCAACCCAATATACCTGGAAGAACAAAAGACAAAAGCATGGAAAGGGGAAACAAAAAGATAGGTTAGGGATACAGAAACAGCTTAGGCATAGCATTGCAGGGGAAAAAAATACTTCAGGGTATTAATCCTAGCAGATTAAAGTCCTCTTCACCCATCACTGATAAATCATAAAGTACTGGCAGCACCTCTAGTCAGCTAATCTCTTCTACTTTATTAGTTCTACTTCATCATTGAGCCTGGAAATGGATTCCTGGGCTCCAAGAGGTGACAAGCAAAGCAACATCTCTTCCATAATTGCCTGATCTCTAATTCCATTGATTCAAGATTGCTCGTAGTTTTTCCACCAAGCTTAGATTCATATGTTGTCATGTACCTGATAATTAGTAGAATCTTAAAGTAAGGTCAAAGAAGTTTGACATTGGGGTGCTCTGACATCTTTGGTGTCCTCTCAACATTTTTTTTTTCTTTTTGAGTCAAGCAATTGCCTGGAGAAGTCCTTTGTTTTTGTTGGCAAGATTTCAGAAGAGATTGCCATTACTTCCTTCCCCAGGATGAGAGAGGGGAACTGACCCAAGGTCACCCAGTTGGCTTTGTGTTTCAGGCAGGACTAGAATTCATGGTCTCCTGGTTTCTAACCTGCTTTTAACCACTACACCACACTGGTTCTCCCCTCTCAACTTACCAACAGAATAAAAATTGGAACTGAGCTCCATTTATTTGGGAGACTATTTAAAAATATTTACTTTTATGGAAAATTAAAATGCTCCCACGTTGCCTCTGCTATGTTCTCTTCTCAACCAAACAATGTCTTACTTAGGACTTCCTGCGAGTCAAATTTCAAGAGTTCGGATGCTGGTTGGGATAAAGATACAAAAGACTCCCCCTTCTGAAGTTGGAATTATTTCTCCAAATTCAGAGAGGGAAAATCAAATAATCATTCAGCCCCTTTGAAACTATTGTTTCAAAGAACTGTAAGATGTCATCATTTCTTATGCTTACAAACCCCTCCCTTACCCAGTGGTTGGTGAAGTTACGGGTTATGACAGCTGGGGCAAATGATCGGGCAGGGTTCATGCCAGCTCCTGTGTAGTACATCTGGAAAAAAGAGTAGGGTTATGATAGGGAAATAATTTTTTTCATCATACAATTCAGGTTTCTAGTCCTAAAGGGTCCAACTCCCTTATTTATATGTTTGCTTAAATATTAGCAATTATATAGTGCCTTTAGGCACATGCACAAGGCAAATAATAAATATATAATAAAGCAACAATAATTTCATTAAAGCACCAAACTCTAACTTAAAAATAATGTATATTAAAAATAATGTATACCCACTGAAAGATAGTTTAAAGGATGCCGTTAAAATAAATAAAAGGGACCAACTGTTACACTGAGTAGATTCCATATAGCAAACTGGAAATGTTCACCTGCATTCCAAGGAGCCCTGAACTCATTTCATGTGGCCATAGGCTTAATTTCAAAAGCTTTCTTCAAATCCATGCCGGCATAAAAGTAGTTCCAGAAAAAGGCATGACCATCCCAAAAGATTCCCTTTGATGGGAAGAAAGATTCCCTCCCCCCCCCTCTACTTTATAGATTCAAAATAGTTAAACAGAAGAAAGATCCGAAGTTAAACTGCTAGTTGAAAAGGATGCAGTTAAGAATGAGGGGAACTATTGGAAGTAAATCTCCATCCAGGCCTGATGAGGTGGCTACTACAGAGACTGCCTAAATATATTACAGCTGGCTATATGTTAGTGCATCTTGCATATTGAATCATTACCCCAAAGAGATGTCCAAGTGTGAGAGAGAATCCAACTGCCAGGGCCACTGATCCCATGCGTCCATTACGTCTCTCGTCGTAGGTGGCAAAAACACAGAGGACAAACTGTAGGGTCAGGATGATTTCCACAATGGTAGCTTGACTTACGTTTATACTAGGGTGCATCTGTAGCCAGGAAGATAGGTGGAAGGATAGAACTATGAGAATAGCAAAAGTTATAATTCATTCAATACCCAACTATACCTCTTAGGGTCTTTGGTTTCCAGAAATTATTTATGCATACTAGGAGGGAGCACTGATTGCACTTACATCTAGCATAGGTTTGTAGAATGAAGATATTACATTTTAATAGTGCCCATGTGATTATCTACCAGACCTGACTTTAGTCAAGCTAGAGGTTCAACAAGGTGAGGCAGGGATAAAGGAAAGTAAGATAGGTCTATAAAGGAACAGGAAGTCTGTAGCCAGGAAGAAAGCTTTAGAGATGCATAGACGAATGAATGAGACAAATCTTGAGAGTCTATTATTTATATCAAGTGGATAAATCAAACACAGCAGGGGCATTTTCTAATGTACGCCTGTCTCTCACATATATAGCTGATTTTCTTCTTTCAGTTCTCTCTTGTTCGTTGGGTGGAGGCTGGACAACTCCCAGTGACATGCTCATCCAGTTAATTAATGCTGCTGTGCCTTTAATTTTTATGAATCATCCTGATTTAATTTTTGGAACCTGAGGTAAACTTATATTTCAATCATTAATCTAGGATATTTAATCACTCCTAAAAGCTATCTAGTCTGACTTTTTTACACTACATTTCTAACCAAGGAAGCAATTGTTTATTAGTACATTAAATCTAATTAGTACATTAAATTAGTACATCCTCATCTAAAACCTGAACCCCAAAATTTTCCTACCCCTTTGTTTATCTCACCATTTACATATGTATATGTGTCACTGGGTAAACAACGAGGGAAAATGTAAGAAAATGTAAGGGACTCTTAAATCCACAAACTCCATTTCTGACGCCAACCAGTTTTAGCCAAATTGTGTCCCGTTGCCGCCACCACTGCACTCTTCAAAATTAGGAGTTGAAAGAGGTTGCATAGAATAAGCCCTCTCTCCTAATAGTAAAATTCAAGCACCAATTTGTGGGTTGTGAATTTGCAGACTTTCTAAATCTTAGAGTCCTGTTTTATTCTCAGCTGACTAGGTTTCAGAGTCAGTTCCCGGCTTGAAATGTGTTTTGATGGCCACCCATCTTTGCTGACTAGTGGATTTAACTGAGGGGAATTTAACAGGGCGGGGATTTTAATTTCCCACAATGCCATCCAAAGTGATGTTTTGGGCAAAAAATTAAAATGGCAGCTAGACACTCCTTTTTGGAACTCAAAGCATAAAGGAGTGAGGTAAAATGTATCTAGCTAATCCCTGCTAGTTTTCCTTCAGTCTACTGTCTTTTTGGCTTGTTGTCTTCCTTTTATGACATCTTTCTTTTGAGACTGGACTGGAATTAACATTCTGTCAGATTGCAGTCTCTCACCAAAGAGCCCATCTCATGCTCACTCCACCCCACAAATTTTTAACCGCCTCTGGATGAAGCCGGGGGTCCAGTGGCATACAATTTTCTCCTCAGAGTCAAGGTCGTGGGAACAGCTGGTTAGAACATTTTGTACTGAAGAGGTTTTATGTACAATTTGGAGATGAAGAGGATGCCCTCTTATCATGTGTCAGGAAAATCAGTGAAATGGTGGAATTTTACTGATTAAAAAAATTAAGCACAGAGAGACTTGAAAATAACAACAACAACAACAGCAATAATAATAATAATAATAATAATAATAGATGTTACCTTGAGTCCTTGGTTAGGACTTGAACTGTTAAGTTTTTACCAGTTCCAGACTGTGAATCGAACTGAAGATTAATAATCATAATAAGTAAATAAATAATGCCCCTGCCGAGTTTCAAAGCAGCAACATTTGACTTACAAGGCAAAATTTATATTGACTACAGGTAGTCCTCATTTAGTGACCACAGTTGGGAAGGGCAACTCAGTCATTAAGCAAAGCGTTTGCTAAGTGACAACCGTGCTTATGATCTTATTTTAGCTTTCCTTTGTTTTACAGACCTGTGAAGGTCATAAATGTGAGGATTTGTTACTTTTTCATCACTGTTGTAACTTTAAGTGGTCGCTAAAGGAAGCAGTCACTAAATGAGGACTACCTCATTTAGACCACAATTAGTGGTCTAAAAATCACTAGAAGTCATACATTGGCTCAGCTGAAGGGCCAGTCCTTCTGCAAAGTAGCCAATGAGCTATTGAAATTTGTCCATGGGACGCTGTAGCTCAATGTGTTATAAGGTGGAAAATATGCAGAGCAGAGAAATGTGCCTTGAGGTTGTTTGGCAGGCAAGTCAGGGATTAAGAGAACCCCTCCAAAAACAAGACAGCAAGACAACCAAGCAATGCTGAGAAGCTCTGAATCAGCAAGGGAATTGGTAGGTATATTTCAGTTTTTCCCATAGCAAAAATGGGAGGAAATCGGTTCAGTTTAGAACTTCTCACTAGAAGACACAATGATATAAATGCGTTACAATAGTGCCTTTTTGGGGGGCATTGTACCTATAAGGTTGCCTTCATTTCATCCCCAGTCTGTGCGGTTTGATGCTCTCTGAGCTTAGTTATTTGCTATTCATTACCAACTACGTAACATCATCAGTGACATTATTTAGTTGGGTAATGAAACATCTGCAAAGAAACAACCAAGCTCAGAGAGGATCAAGTACTTCAAAGTCCAACCCTGAACTATAGAAATCCTTTTGTATTGGCATCCCCAGCCTGTGAGTGAGAAAGTGCTGGTGTTAAAATAACAGTCTAAAAGCCGCCTCATGATGTGTAAAATCTGTTAGGCTGTTAGGCCGCTACAGACAAACCTCTAAATAGAATTAAAATAATTTCATTGTCTGTAAGAGAAGGATGAATACAGATGCCTTCCATTCATCTAGAACAGAATTGTATCACAAGAATTCATCTAGGAATTTGAATATCCATTATTGCAAACCTCCAAAATCTGATATCTAAAATTAGATCACCAGCAAAATGTAAAAATAGGTACAGTACACGAACAAAGACTGTATTCAATACAATCTAATTCACTCAGATTTTGATTATTCCAAGATACATTCCTAGTATAATTTTCATTCTGATAATTGATATTTAAATATCCAGCAATTATTGCTCAAATCCAAAATATGTCAATTCAAAATCCATAATTAAAAGGCTTTTAAACTCAGCTGAAATGCTGGTCTGAGGGTTTTCTAAAATACAGTACTTTTGCCTCCTAAAAACAGTTCATTTACTACAAAAAGGAAATTTATTATCCAAGGGAAGCTTTTGCTATCCAAGGGAAGTTTTTAATATGATATGCCATTACCCTATCGAATGACGAGGATCCTGAACTTTATCTTTCACTTGAAATGTTCCTATGTTTTTGTACAAATTCTAACTTTCTCTTTTTACACAAACAAAAATAAGTTTCAGAATTAGTAATAGTGATAGTATTCGCCGATTTCCATCAGGGAATATTCTAGCAGTACAGTGGGTTTACACCAAGTATGGAAGGGTTTTCACATAGAAAAGTTCATTAGATTTAATACTAACTCACACATATTTTTTTTATTTGCTAAATTTATATGCCGCTCATCTCACTATCAAGTGAATCTGGCTTTCGGGTAATATACCTGAAAACCCTCAAGTTAAGATTGTTTTTGACAAGAACAATGTTCTCTGATATGATCAACCAGCCAGATTTGGTTAGGAAAACAATGCGTGCTTTTCTTTCGAAATGCAGTAGAAGTGATTTACTTCAAAATTAATTGCAGATCTGATTTAAAGTTACAACAACGACAAAATTCTTTCATGAAAAGTGCCTTTGATATCACCTATCCCAAAAAACCTAATTTGCATCTCTCTCATCCTCCCACTCTTTAACTAATCTTCTTACTATATCCAGTTACACTGATATAAAATTCGATCATATTCTCTTTTATGCTCTACAAAGTTTTATGTAGAGTATCCCGGGCAATCTGGCGTTTACCCAATAACTACTCCAAGAGACTTGTTGAGACAAAAATAATTTACCCGTGAAAACATTTCAATTCCTGTTTCAGGTTCTATGCTAGCAGATTCATCTTTCTAGATTTAGGATTAACAAGCTTTCCTACATGGGGTATACTTTGTACCTTCATACTTCTGGTTCCCAATAATCTCCCTAGTAATCCAGATTTTAAAGGGCACAGTGTGCAACCCTTTAGAAAATCTCCTATATACGGCAATGATAACTCATTGTTTGTCTCCAGCTGTAGGGATACCCCCCTCTTAAAAACATTTCCAGACAGCTTTGCATGATTCCATTACCGTGTTGAGTCCCAGGTTACCCCGTAGTGCTGTCGGGGTGACTCCATAAAGCACAGCTGCACCGGCCAGTCCTCCCAACACCTGGGCCACCACGTAGAAGACAGCACGGAAGAGGGAAAGCTGCGAACCCAACAGAAAGGCCATGGTGACAGCTGGGTTGATGTGGGCACCACTCACGTGGCCTAGAGACTGCACCATGGTAGCTGCTACCAAGCCAAAAGCCAGGGCCACTTGTAGAACGTTTAAGGGGCCAACAATCCAGCGAAGGGAAGCCCCCAGCCCAAAAAACACATAGAACATAGTCCCGAAGAACTCAGCAAAAACAGCTCTCCAAAAGGAGAATAAGCGTGCCTCCCACATGGCGGGTCAGGAGGAGGGCAGAGACTGAACAGGGTGCAGCAGGATGGTCTTGAAGCTCACTGCTGCTTGCTGCACCACCCCTCCACCTAAGACCCTTGTTTTCTATTGTGGCTGTGAACTTTATAAGGTTTGCTAGTATAGTCCAGCCCAGGAGGTGGGAACTCAGATTGACTGATTGGGGTCTCTTAACTCTTCATTGTCTGACGTAAAGGTGTAGGCATAAGCCAATTCCTAGCTCCTGTGGCTGCTATCAGAGCTTTAACTCCAATAATTCGAACCCTTTCACTTCCACTTTGCCCTTTTCCTTGCTCAAGTGTTTTTCCTCCTAGCAATTATTGTAGAAAGATTTTTTTTTGATGCAAATGGCTTCTGTGGCATTCATTGGGAGGTAGGGGAGATGGCATGGAATCCTCCTTCACAACCCAAATCAGAGTCTTGGAGGCTAGAGGGACACTTGCATGTTCTTCCCAACGCAGAGGTGCATGAGAGGGAAACTGCCTAATTTCCAACATTAGCAAGCAGCCAGAGTTTTTGACTACTTGTGACATGTCATGGTTGGTTCATGTGTGCGATTGTGCCAGGGAAGCGTCCACTGCTATCATAGGATATTGTCTCCTGACTTTTTTCCATTGCTGAATTGAAGAGCTCTCAATTAATTCATGAGTTGTCAAAATGGAATTGGCTATTTTGATTGATTTTGATTGATCATCACTACTATATTTCTATTGCCTTTGAGTGCATTTCCACTGCCACCTAAGTGTGTCCAGAAAGTGCTGAACATACATCTTTATATGTTGCCTCTGTCTCATTATCAGCCTGCTGTTAGGGGAGCATGAAGATAACTGGAATGGAAGTTTCAAAGTTATGCCAGCAGAAGACCATCCACATGGACAGTCTTAGGAATATGGAAAAAGCTGTTTGGGATGATGTAATCAGAGTTGATCTGCCAGGTTTACATTCGGACTTCCTCCTTTCATTTGGATACTGGGTTCTGTACCTGTGGTGCAGGGCTGCTTTGGCACAGACCAGAAACCAGGCTTCTGCAGCCAATTTGTAGTTTATTTAGTTCTAATAATTCTGTCAACTGAAATGATTGCTTCCTAAACTGAGAGACTATAACCCAAAGCATCTGACGGACAGACATTGCACAGACACGATTTCTATTTCTGAATATCATTTCCATGCATGTTGGATGGGAGATGGGCAGAGGGCCTTCCTCTGATTCTCTATTGCTTTAATTATGAAGAAGATTGGAACCCAACTTCTGCAACTGCTGTAGTTGCTGTGATTTGAAGAATAGGTTGACTTGTCCACTTGCACACAGTTGGAAAACCCCATTCTCAAAATCCAGCTCTTTAGCTATACTTATTCAGCAGATCCCTCTCAGTTGCACAAATCTGGTTGATTTCTAGATGGAAGCCAAGATCTCTCTCTTGCCACTTAAGATCAGTAGCTTGACAGATCAATAGAGTAATCATTTTGGGAAAATGTTATGGCATGTATTAAAGAACCATAGAGTTTAACACTTCTTTTACTTATACCCAGTTCTTAGGAACATTATGCCAGCGGCCGCAAATGAGCAGCACAAAGCAGGAAGATTGTTATATTGTAGTCAAAAGAGACAACTCTTCATTGTCAACTAGTGGTCATTAGACCAACAGATCAACAATCCTTTGGAAAAACAAACAGGAAAAAAAATGGATTGGGCAGAGTGCTGGGACCTTACAAACCTTGCCCCAGAATATATATCCTATACAATGATTAGGGAATGGTGACCTTCAGATTTTGGGCAGTGAGGAATCCAGTCCCTGCCTATACAGCATTATGTAGCACAGATGTATAGTCAGCAACATGGGAAGGTCCCATTGTGGATGCACAGTAAGGATGCATTCTGGGGCAGCAAGATTTAAGGTGATAAGATTTCCTCAAGGTTCCAGAAGAGAAGGAAAGCACTACAGAAACGGATGCAGGGAGATGTTCGTGTCAGTTCTCTGCTGCACCAGATTTACTTCCAACATCATACCTACCATAACAGCCTGATAGAGAACTAGTTTTGTGTATGGCTAAATGGTTAGAGAAATCAAGGAGACCACTGTGAATTCTAGTTCTGACTTAGGCATGAAAGCTGGCTGGGTAGCTTTGGGCTAGTCACTCTCTCTCAGTCCAATTCACCTCAAAGGGCTGTTGTTCTGGGGAAAATAGGAGAAGGAAGGAGTATTAAGAATCTTGGCCACCTTATTTATAAAACTAATAGAGGTGGAATATCTAATAAGTAAATAGTAGCTTTTGCATACCTTGTGACTGTTCTTGGATAAATAGGGAGGAGGAGGAGAGAAATGCTGCATTAAGAAAATGTTAAGGCTATCTCACTCGTGGGCTGGGGGCAAGGTAAAGGCAGCATCTTAGAAACTCAGCAGAAAATAATTGTTGTTAAGAACAAGTTTGTCCTAGAGTTAGCTGTGAGTAGGAAAAGACCCTATGTTTCGTAAGACTCTTAATGATATTATTTCTGACTAGGACTGGAAACTGAAGGCATGTCAGATGTTTTATGATTTTATATTTTCTGTGTTTTTCCTCCTAGATTCAGCATCCCATAGGATACAGTGAGGTAAGAGCTGTTCCACTACTTCCAGCCTAGTCTGAGCACAGAACCATCAACATGTCATTAGCAGGTTAAAAACATACCAATATATTGATTGCTTTGTTTTGAAGCTCCGAACCAAATAATTTCTCTTTATATCATTGGACATTTTTCTCCTAGAAGATAGAGTGGGCAGTCCTATCATGATCACTGCATAAAATCAGATCAGACGCTGAATGTTTTTGCTTCTGATATTTTTCCTAGAGTTAGGTACAGGTTTGAAAAGCCCCCGTTTGACAAGACTCTTTGTGACATTGTTTTGACTGGCACTGAAAACTGGAAGCACGTCTAATCTGGTATGATGTTCTTGTGTTTTCTGTACAGTATTTCTCCCCCAGCTATCTTCTTCTGATATTTTTTTTAAACAATTCACTCATTATCAATCCCAGAATCTATGGCATCTTTAATACAGGATTGCACAATTGATTGCACAGTTTGGTTGAAATCAAATTCCCATAATGCTGGTTCAAACAGTGAGTTGATACAAGGTGGTAGGAGCTATCAATATAAACCACATTAGTTTATCTCAGGGATTCCCGCAATTATACACCACCCATTTCTCCTCCACTATCTCCCACCCCCCATGAGCTATTTTTAGACTGAGATCTAACAATTTAGCTCATAAACTTGGGGACAGCATTATTGAACTATGAAGGATGATAGCTATTAGCTGTAAATATTATCATTATTAAAATAGAACAAAACAAACTGGTACTCACTAGTTAAGACAGAGTGGGATGGGATAGGATAGGATATAGTCACAACAGTCAAGATATAATGATGGTTCCTGAGTACTAGTTTGGTGATTAAGGCTTAATTTAGTTATAGGCAGTTGCTGCTAATGCTACCCTGCTAGCTGATGCCATTGGAATAAGCAACAATAAAGAGCTGTTGAGAATGCTCTGTAGTATTTCAGCCTTCCCAAACTTACTGCTCTACTGATGTATTGAACTTCAACTCCTACCATATCACCAATAATTCCTACCAACGAAATATGTTGCAGATAAACAGCTCTTTGTATTCTATCCTCCATCATCATCCCTGGAGTTCAACTATTATATTGAATGACACCACAGATCTCTCTGTGAACAAAAAATGCCATCCATTGCCTGCCCTAAAGCAAGATAAGCAGGCTACATGAGTCTCTGTCACTTGGCTGAATGTCTCTTCTGCAACTCCAAAGTGGTATTATCTATGATTTTTCAGGGGGAAAAAAAGAAAAAAACCCAACATGGAAGCCCTGCCAAAGGTAGTCTTCAATCTACAAAAGTTACAGATAAGGAAAATATTGTCTGGATCTCTGTAACATTTCTGAACGAGGCAAGATAATTGTATAATAAAAAATTTTAACAGGAAGCACTAGGATGTATCAGGAAATACCTTGGCAGAATTGATTCTGCCCATCCAAACAAACTATCAAGAGAGAGTCTGTTGCAGGTCCTTTCTCCTCCCAAGATACACAGAGTATGAATCAGGTGTCAGGCCTTCTGAGGGATGGCCCCTATTTTATGGAATATTCTCCTCCTGGAGGTCCAAATGACCCCGGCCCAGCTTAAACAAGCTAAAACAATTCTAATCCATGTTATGTTCAGCCCTTAGATTATTACTGTAGATTTATGGGTTTCTATGATCTTTAGTTTTCAGATGGTTTACTATAATTGTTTATTATTGGTTTTATTATTCCTCTTGACCTTGTTATACCCTGCTCAGAATCTACTGGAATTGATGCCAGTTATAAAAATAAATGAATAAATAAGTAAATAAAGTTAAACTGAGAGAACAACCAAGGTAGAAATACATCTGTGGAGGTGAAGTCTTAGGGGTTAACTGCTCAGTGAAGGGATGGGAATAAAACCATAGGGCCCTTGTGCTTCAAAAGAGGCCTCTCTGGAATATTTGTCACCGTAGCATTTTGGAGCAGCTATTTAATCAGAACTGTTCAACAGACTCTAATTCTCTTTCTGCTCTAGGGGATTTATCTGCCTGCTCTGGGATTGGGCAAGTTGAGGAAAAACTGCCAAGTCGGAAAGAAGCAAGGACAATGGGATATGCTGGGCTCAGCATTTGACCAGGGCCAGCATGTTTGAAGGACACAGGAGAGGAGAATCAGCATATGCATGCTCAATCACAGTCTCGTATTTTATTGCACATCAGGTCCAGGGATGGGTGTGAGTACACTGGCTTAGGCCTCTTGTCAAAGTCCATCCATGTGGCAAAGAGAAACACGCTGCTTTTCCTGAAATGTTTGCTCATGAGGGTTCTTAGGCTTCCAGAATCTATTCTGGCATTTACTAGAATTCTGGTTCTGCTAAGTAGAATTTTAGAGGAAAAAAGTTCGCATAACATTCTGAAGGGAAGAATTTGGAACCTAGAAACTGGTTCTGAATACTGAGTATCAGCAATCTAATTTAGGAGTTGTTGTTAGTTGCGAAGTCGTGTCAGACCCATCACGACCCCATGGACAACTTTCCTCCAGGCCTTCCTGTCCTCTACCATCTTCTGGAGTCCATTTAAGCTCACGCCTCCTGCTTCAGTGACTCCATCCAGCCACCTCATTCTCTGTCGTCCCCTTCTTCTATTGCCCTCAATCTTTCCCAGCATTAGGCTCTTCTCCAGTGAGTCCTTCCTTCTCATTAGGTGGCCAAAGTACTTGAGTTTCAACTTCAGGATCTGACCTTCTAAAGAGGAGTCAGGGTTGATCTCCTCTAGGACTGAAGTAAAGGAGTAATATTGTGGCTGGTTGTCAACCAATCGGAAATTAGAAATTCTTAACAATTAACTTTTGATTGCCCATAGATATATCAGTACACAGTATAGTATCATACGGTGTTATAATACAAATGAGACACAAATGTGGGGAAAAGCTTTTGTCTAAGATCATGCAATAAAATTACAAGTAGAGTTTGGAACAGAAGGCAGGAGGCCTTGTTCCAATCTATCTTGCAGATTATTATATCTGTCCTTAGAACAGAAACTGGAACAACCATTTTTTCTTAGTTTTTTTTAGATCTATCTCACTAGATCAGCAAACGTTTGGGGCCAAGGGCCCATCTGGAATTTCTAGAACATGTCATGAGTACCCCCATAAAACCTGTGCCATCACAGGAATGATCAAAGACAAAATACTCAACTACTGGACAGTAGGACTCTTGCTAGGCCTTCCCAAATCGGGAGACCCTGCCACCATACCTTACTTATATCTCTTTTCTGGCAGGCAGACATACTTCCAAACAAAGCACTGGGCTCTTAACCTGCAACCATTTTTAGTTTCTAAAATCTATGTGAGATCTATGTGGGGTTTTCATTAGCTTTCCATTTACATGGGTTTTAAATTAGGTGTATCTCAAATCAGAGACTGATGGTGGCAAAGGAGGAGTCACCAAGTATAATGAAGCTGATGACCATCATGTACTAGGTCTTATCTAAAAACTATGAGAATCTAGGAATCCTGGCTTCTATCCTTCCTTGAATTACTCTATTTGACTCTATTTTTGTTGTAAACTGTGAACAGAATCAGAATTCTGGTAGAGTCATGATGGCAGCACTGCTTTAAGAGCACCAATCTCAAAAAACACATAATGTCAGTACAAATATAAATACATAGGAAGCTGCTTAAGATGGAAGGAAGCTGGAAGCTGAAAAGAGGCTTTATAAGAAGACGAAGAGATGGGGAATTGCTGTAGCTTCCTACTCAGTGCCATGTTCTTCTTTGTCAGGTGATTTAGCCTGAGCAACAGCTGAGAGTGAAGACCGAGACACGCTGGCAGCCTCCACAATCTCAATGTCACGACACGTCAGGCAGGCCACAAGCTTTTCCTGGGAAGCACTGTCAGCAAAGAAGAATTCATAAGATACTCCAGCCAGAACGGCACCCAGAATAGGGCCGAGCCAATACACCTGGAAAGTGGGAATGAGAGATCGGGTGAGAGAGAGTCATGACGTGGTTTCTGAAGCAGTATATATATCAGCCCTTGGAAGGGTTGGGAGAGATCACATAAGTTCCAACCGATTGGCAAGAATGTGGTTGTAAAGTATCCTAGCAAGGCTCAAGCAACATGCTGGTAAGCCTAAGGGAAGACTAGTATAGAGAAAAAGACACACACAGAGAGAAGCAGGAAAACGCATATTGGAGTGGGGGGGGGGGAAATACCTAATCCTGGCTGAAATTAGTAAAGATGGGAGTGTAAGGTCAACCTAAATACTATTTTAAAAGTTCTGCGTACTTTGTAGTCAACATCTCGGCTGCAGAAAATTCAACATAACAGCAGATAAATATTAAAATGTTCCAAGTTACAGATTTAAATGCTGAATATAATCTTCCATTCAAGGTCGTCCTAAAACTGGAATTTCCAGAAAGTTATTTGACAGGAAGCAAGGGAGTTTCTCTTGGGTAGGCAATCCAGAGGTAGCTACCAAAATTGCCCCCCCTTCCTTCAGGGCATCCAAGAGATGGAAAATCTCAAGCTCTTCCTCTCCATAGAAATAAGCTATTCCTCTCCACTGCAGTAACTACTTACCCAGTGATGTTCCCAGAATCCTGTGATGACAGCTGGACCCAAAGATCGGGCTGGATTCATACTGCCTCCAGAGAAGGTACCCTAGGAAATATAAGTTTGAGACCAGCTGCAATTGTATTTCAATTCCTCCCTTGGCAGATTGTTCTATGAAAGTTTCCCCTGTTTATTATTTTTTTAAAAAGGGGGTCTTCCTTCTAGCTGTTGCTGGTGCGTTGGCTGAGCTTCAGGACTATTTACTGTCCCTGAAATTCTTGGCTGGAACCAGCTTAGGGTAGTATTGAAAGTGCTAGCCTAGGAACTGGAAATTACAAGTTCTAATTCCACCTTTGACATGAAAGCCAGCTGGGTGACTTTAGGTCAGTCACTCTCTCTCAGGCCAGCTCACCTCATAGGATTGGTGTGGAAAAAATAGGAGGTAAGAATATTTGGTATGTTCTCTGCCTTGTTATACGGAAGAAAGGTGGAATAAAATAACAAGAACAACAAAACCAATATTCCACAAAAAGTCCAGTAAAGAGGATGACCTTACCAGAGAGAGAGAAGAACCATTACCGAGACTACAAAGCGAGAGCTACAGTATTTCTTGATCTACTCTACCTTCTAGGGCTGACACTATATTACACATTGTAATTTTTAATAGGAGGAAGGAATTTATTAAATACGTGGGTAGTAATCGTATTAACTTAATGGCCTTTTTCAATGAACCCGTAGCTGAATTTAAACAAGTTTAGGTTTTGTCCTGGGGAAACACATTTCTTTGCTTATGCCAATTATATTTGGAAAGCTCACCCCAGGACCAGGCGTGGCATACACATAGAGAGATATAAAACTCTCAGATTTGATCTATTGTATGCAGTTATTTTCCCCCCAATGTGTGAGAGTCAGTCTGTTGAAATTCTGAAGCATTTTTAAGGTACTGATGTCAGGCTCTGTCCAAGAATAACACAGAGCAATTCAGCCACAGTTCAGTATACAGAATCTTGCCAGAGTAACCCTTATTACTCTTACCCTGATGGAGATACCCTAGGACAGTGTTTCCCAAACTTGACAATTTTAAGGCATGAGGACTTCAACTCCCAGAATTCCACAGCCAGCAACGCTGGCTGTGGAATTCTGGGAGTTGAAGTCCACATGCCTTAAAATTGTCAAGTTTGGGAAACACTGCCCTAGGACAGGGGTAGGCAACCTTGGCTCTTTTATGACTTGTGGACTTCAACTCCCAGAATTCCTGAGCCACCATAGCATAGTTGGCTTAGGAATTCTGGGAACTGAAGTCCACGAGTCATAAAAGAGTCAAGGTTGCCTACCCCTGCCTTAGGAGATTCCAGGGAGTGGCTGTCCTGTCTCTCTTCCTCTGTCTCCTATCCAGCTCTGTGCTGTGCTGCCTTTTGTCTTGCCCCAATCTTGGAATATTCTTCCTCCTTCCTGAGAAACTGCCACTTCACTGTAACTCATCATACCAGTTTCCCCCTTGCAGGGACCCTTCCTCACAATTCATTATTTATTTCAGCTTTGAGTGAGGCTGTTAGCTCCAATACCTTCCTTCTGCTTTTTCCTACCATAGCAATTCTGTTGGGTAAGTTGGGTGGAGAGACTGAGAGAGAGAAAGAGACTTGCTTAAAGTGACGCTAGGAGCTTCATGGCCAAAGTGGACCAGAATTGGAATTTACCTGGTTCTAGCCTGTAATGGTCTGTGGGAATGACCTTGGGAGACAGGACAGACTGGATAACTATCATGTAACAGATTTTTATTTTTATTTTTTTTAAGGAAAGGGGGTTACTTTTAGTCTTGCGAGATTTTTTTAATGTAACCTTACAATAAAGATAGAGCTAGTACTTCTGCTTACACTTCTTGTCTGGACTATCTCACCAGGCTAACATAGCCTAACACTGTGGGAGATGAACATTTTTTTTAATTACAGCTAAAGGCCAGCCACTTAAGACAGCTTCTTAAAATATCCAGATAATAAAGCAGCACACAGTATAACACATAGGAATGTAAAAAGCAATAGGAAATTATATGCTACAGTTGCTGAGAGAGATGGATTACAGTTTTGCCGCTGACTGTTCATTATCCGTAGCTGCGCAAAGCTGCTGTGCAAAAGTTTACAACCATAGAAGTAGCAGGAAACTGCCTGTACCCGGGTAGTTTAATGGGCAAAATAGGTTTATTTAGATCTCTATAAAATTTATAATACAGCAAGACGTGCTCAACTGGTTTGACCAGCCATGAAGGGCAGATGTGCTCCTGGTAGGGGTTCCTATTAAAGCTGCCTTCCAGCTGTGCAGATGAAAGTGAGTTAAATTAAGCTTGAGAAAAAGCTCTGTGATAGGCATTTTCAAGGTGGCAAGATGCTTGGTAGGCTGCAAGTTTCAGATTCAGAATACTAAAACTCTCAACAACCTAACACCAACAGAAGTAGGTTTGACTCATTTTTGTCACTTGCCTTCCAGGACTTTCTGTTTAAGAATCATTCTAGTTTCGTTACTGTCCATGGATAGCAAAACAACAACAACAACAACAACTGTGGATAAAAGTTGTAATTGCACTTTTTACAAGAGGATCCACTTACAGAGGATGAGCTCCACTGAACAAAAATCCTTTAGACCAGGATGTCAAACTCAATTTCATTGAGGGCTGCATCAGCATTGCGGTTGCCCTCAGGGGGCCAGGTGGGTGTGTCCAGGGTGGGTGCGGATGGAGTGGGTGTGGCCTACTGGATGGGTGTGGCCAGCTCTACATCATTCATGTCAAGGGTGCCTGTGGGGGCCTGGGCAGGAGTGGGGGTCTCTGGCAGAAGGGGGTGGGACCGGGGCAAGTGCCAAGGTATGGTCCACTGGAGGAGCCTCACTGTTCCTCTCAGGCCATGCGGGGGGTGGGGTTATGGCGCTAAGACTGAATGCGTTTCAGCATAAATAGTCACCACAAAATTGTACATTGGCTCCCGGCTGGCCTGGGTCAGGGCCAAGGCAGAGGGGGCCATTCCCTCACTGTTTCCAGGATGGCTTCGCGGGCCACATGAAATCATTTCGCGGGTCGCATCCGGCCCCCAGGTCTTGTGTTTGACATGTCTGCTTTAGACCATGATTAAAGATCACCAGCCGAACACAAGTATCTAACTTAATTAATCTTAATTAAAATCAACCTTAATTAAAATTTGCTACTTGGAACATATTTGGGGGGGACTGAAACTCTGGTGTCAGAAATTGGGTGCACTTTGGAGCATTTATTTATCTGTGCTGTTACCGCAGCTAGAGCTCCTGCTATCACAGAGAAACCAATAGCCAAGGTCCCAGCAGGCTCCCCTCGTTCATGCCTCCGGTGATCTTCTACAGCGAAAATGGTGAGAGCCAGCTGGAAAGTGGAAAACAGCTCCATCCCCAGAGCCTGTCCTGCATTCCCCTCAGTGTTGACCTAAAATGAAGAAGGGAAAGAAGGAAGGGTTCAGAGTGAGAGCAGAGATCTTCTGCAAGTCATCCAAGGGCTTGCCATATTAACTAGCGTAAGTTTTTACTGTCCCATAAAATATTGTGCGGTCCAAATATTAACGGTTGAAACTATGCACAGGCTACTCGGATGCAAGACTATTTGGGGTATACATCGTAGAAGAAAGCAGTGGCAAGCTATTTTCATATTGTTGCTAAGAAATCTATGAAGTCAGCAGAAATCAGGGACAGTTTACTCGTATGATTTCAAAACAGTTAATCTATAATATTTTTAGACAGCTTATATCAAAGTGACCGTATGATTTTAAACATTTATTGTTTTTATTTATTTTTGTTATTAAAATAATAAAAGCAGACTTTAAATGACAACCAAAACTTGATATAACAAAGATTTAATTAAACTCATACAAATATGTTTGTTCCTTGTTTTGTCATTATAACAGGACAGCTAACTATTTATTCTTTGCTATGCTTGAAAATACCCGATGCCCATCTTATATTAAGACTAAAACGTAACCTTTTTTTTTTATTAAAAGTTTTACAAATTTAATACATTATAACCCAAACCCCTCCCACCCCTTCCCACCCCTCCCTCACTTCCCAGAGCTGATTACAGGGTAAAAATAAACAAACATAATCTAACTAACATAACCCGACTATACTATCAATCAAATCCATAACACACTTTAACTCCTTTTCAAAACAAGTATTAACAAATTAAAAACAAAAATAATAATATAATTAAACCATAATACTAAAGATAATATAAATTCAACCATATTGAACTATTAAAAATAATCTAAAATCTACTCATAAGCAAGATAATACTTTTTAGTCTCATATTTCTTTTGAATATAATCAATCCATCTTCTCCAAACCGAAATATATTTTTCTTGTGAATGGTCCTTCAAATAGGCGGAGATTTTTGCCATTTCTGCTAAATTAGACACCTTAACTATCCATTCTTCCATAGTAGGCAAAGAGTTTTTCTTCCAATATTGCCCCACAAGTAATCTTGCAGCTGTTATAAGGTTCAGCATCAAATCAATTTCTTTGACATCAAAATTTACAATAATACCCAGCAAAAATAATTGCGGAGTAAACTTTATCTTTCTCTTAAAAACCTTTTGAATATTCCACCAAATCTTAATCCCAAAAGCTTTTATATCTCTACAAGTCCACCAAATATGAAAATATGTTGCGTCTAAGCTTCCACCTCTCCAACATTTGGGCTGTAAATTAGGATACATGCGGGACTAGACTAAAATGTAACCTTTATAAATTGCACAAATTCATAGGAAATAAGGTATACTGGGCAAGGCAGAGGGAGTATTTCTGTCAGACTTTTCCCCAGCAAGCTAGACTGGAGCCATTGAAAGGTAAAAAGGTAAAGAAGTCCCTACAGATTTTACTCTGCTAGTTGTTGCCAACTATAAGGGGCAGTGCTCATCTCTTTCGAAGCCATTGAACCAGCGCTGTCCAAAGACATTCTGCAGTCAACTTGCCAGCATGATATCACAAAATGCTGTTACCTTCCCACCAAAGTGGTACCTATTTATGTATTCACATTTGCATGCTTTTGAACTGCTAGGTTGGTAGGAGCTGGAGCAAAGATGGGAGCTCAACCTGTCAGGTAGTGCTCAGATCTTGAACCTGGGCTGCCAGCTTTTCCAACTGACAAACTCAGTGTCTTAACCACTGAGCCACTAAACCCACAAAAATACTGATACTTATTTTAATTACAAAAAAGCAAAACAGGTACAATATTTCAAACAACTTCCAGTGACTGTTGTGTATCAACCGAAATTGTTTTACATGTATGAATGTCAATGCTATGGTCCTGGATGAAACCCAGAGCATCCAGGAATACATCAATAAGATGGCAGCCAAAGATGAGCTGCTAAGAGAATGCCTGAGGCAGCAGAATACATGAAGGAAGACCAGTAGCAGCACATATAGGAGGAAGATCAAGCAGAGGCAATGCAATGGCGGAATAAGGTGGTGCATTAGAGGTACCATTGACAATGAGCTGAGGTGGCAGATATTGGGAAATCCTATCAGTGGCTGGACTAAAAGACAACATTGAGTCACTGACTGTAGTACAGGGGTAGGCAACCTTGGCTCTTTTATGACTTGTGGACTTCAACTCCCAGAATTCCTGAGCCAGCCATGCTGGCTCAGGAGTTCTGGGAGTTGAAGTCCACGAGTCATAAAAGAGCCAAGGTTGCCTACCCCTGCTGTAGTAGCACAAGAATAGACACTAGGCATCAAATCCATAGAAGCACAAGCCTACTACACTAAACAAGAACTGAGATGCAGACTCTTCAGAGGTCTCAGAGACAGTCCAACACATAATGGCAGGGTATAGGTGCAGGCAGGAACAGCATACATTGAAAGATATAACCAAGTAGCTGGCAATTGTATACAGGACCATCTGCACAGTGTATGGGCTAGACCCTCACAAGTCCAGATGAAAGATTCCACAAAAGGTCATGGAGAGTAACAGGGCTAAGATCCTATGGGACTTCCAGATCCAGACAAACAGGCAGGTACTGGCTAATCAATCAAAAATTGTGGTAGTTGACAAAGAACAGAAGATGGTGGTGGTGATGGATGTAATGGTGCCAAGAGAAAGCACCAGTAGGAAGAAGGAGATGAAAAGCTGGAGAAATACCAGGACCGAAAGGCGGCTCTGGAGAGGATGTGGAAAGTAAAGGCCAAAGTGGTCCCAGTGGTGATAGGAGTACTTGGCTATGTACAGGGGGTTGGACTAGATGACCTCCAAGGTCCCTTCCAACTTTATTGTTGTTGTTATTATTATTATATTCCAAGAATAATATCAGAACTCTCTGTCCAGAACAGTGCAGTGCCAGGAATAGCTTCCTTGAGTTATATAAATAAAGACTGGATAAAAATCTAAAATTAAATACATTTCCACCCTTTGCTACAGCTAATTACTTTGCACTTTGATGCAATAGGAGAAGCACAAGAAGGCAATGGGTTGTCGAAATGGGTGAGAATGAGGTTAGGAAGCAGCAGAGAGTAGAATAATTTACAAATGTTATGTGTAGCTAGTAAAATCAGGCTTCCCAAGCGTAGGAGTTAGATTTTCTACAAATCAAAGAACATCTGGTAGCTGGTGGGTAGCAATTAAAGTAGTAGATTTGAACCTGTGAACCACAAATTCAAGTCCATCCTCAGCTGTAAAGATGTGTTGAATGGGATCAGTTACTCTCTTACATCACTCTATTTTATAAGGTTGTAGTTGAGGGAACAGAGGAAAGAGAGATCCCACTGTAAAGAAATAAATCTAATGAACAACTGACAAGAGTAGCATGCTTTGACTCAATGAAGGAAGGTGACTTCTTCAGCTTCGTTTTGCTTTAGCCAGTGATAGCAATACTGAACCAGGTACCTTAGTAGAGAACAACCACTGTGGGCTCCTGGCATAGAGCACTGGAACACGTAATAAGTTTCATTTTTGATTCTTGATATTAGCAGGCAATGTTAATTTTCATCTCCAGGGATGTCTTACAGCAGGGGTCCCCAACCCCCGGGCCATGGCCCATTGGGAACTGGGCCACGCAAGCGGTGGGTGAGTGCACAAAACTCCATTACTGCAAGTGGTGTGCATGTGTGCAAAACCACCCCCTCTTCTCCCCACCATTGCCAGTCCGCAGAGCCAGAATGGTTGGGGACCGCTGTCTTACAGAAAGGGAGATCAACAGAAAGAGAAAGAAAGAGATGTAACTAGCTTACCTTTGTGACCAATTGCCCAATGGCTGAGCTGGGCAACATGAGATAAAAAACGCCTGATGCTAAGATGGCACCCAGACACTGGGCTAGAATATAGCTTGAGGCATGCAGAGCATCCAGTTTACGAGTGCACAGGAAAGCCATAGTGAGTGCAGGGTTGACTTGGGCACCACTGATCTTACCAAAGCAGTGTGCCAAACTGATAGCTACCAGCCCTGCAGCAAGGGCTGGCTGGAGCGAAGTAGGCAGCACATCTTTAGGACCTGCAGGGGATGAGGCACCCAGCACTATCCAGACAAAGATAAGGGTGCCTGTGCCTTCTGCCAATAGGCTACACCAGAACTGACGGCGCTGCAGTTCCTGGAGAAGAAGAAACAAAGAAAAAAAATAGATACAAATTGACAAAAAAGATATATAGGTTGTTGAGATATGCCACTAAAATAACCCATTTCAGCCAGAAATACAGTGAGATACAATGCTACCAATCAAAATACCTATGGCCAAACAGATTCGAAGAGATTTTTAAAGAAAAGATTGTGATTTCTGTCTCATAAGTGGACTTGTCCAGCAAAGTAGGTGCATTACAGAAAGACATCCTGGCAGGACCTCAGGAAATGCATCTATTCTGCATAATTTCTGCCCTCTGGAATGAGCTCTCTTCAGAGATTCATGAGGTTCCCACCCTTACATCATATGGGAAATCTCTAAGGACCTGATTATTTTCCCACACTTTGAAGACAGAATGAATATGGGCTTTCTTTTTGTTTTCTTCTGTTTCAATGATCTGGATTGTTTTTGTTTTGCTTTGGTATCATGCTCTTCTGATTGGCTGTATTTTTTATATATTGGTTTTATAGTTGCAAGCTGTCCAGAGTTGTTTGGGAGTTGGGCAGACTGTTAAATAAATGAATAATTAAATCCCCAATATAACAGAATAACAATGCAATGATCATTAGAAGGGACCGTGGAGATCTCCTAGTTCAACCTCCTGCTCAAGCATCAAGCATGATATCTAACATCAACAGAGGGGTGTTACATTATTATCTATCAATGGTATCTGCCCTCAGTTGTCATCATTCCAATCTTTCAAAGGAAGCATTCTCTACAGAAACTCTGATGGAGAATCAGAACATCCTCTTTTCTGTTCTAATTCTGTATATCACAAGCAAACCTTCTAAAAACCAACATTTCCCTAGCTTTGTGGCCAGAATCCAATGAGCATCCTTTTGAAGAAGTCAGTGGTATTATTTGTTGTTGTTAGTTGCGAAGTCGTGTCCGACCTGTCGCGACCCCATGGACAACATTCCTCCAGGCTTTCTTATTATAGAAAGCTGCAAAATCTTTAAAATGGTCAGATGCAACACCAAAAAGTAGAACCTCAGAAGTAGTCTTCTCCAACATGGTCTCTTCCAAATATGTTGGAACTACTACTCCCAGAATTCCAACCAGCAGGGAAAATATTTAAGCTATCTGGGAACTGAGGCACTAGATTGGGAAAATCTACTGTAAATCAGTGGCAGTTGGCCTAGGGCAGTGATTTAGGAACTTGTCTCATTTCTGTTTCAGATGCAGTCTTACTAGCTGTGCTCCTAGAATCTAGCCATTGGCCCTACACTATCAAATTAATACAGGGTTCTGCTTCATGTAATTTCTAATGTGTAGTTTCACCTATTGCTATCTTCCTTCAGTTGTTCCTACCCTCTGGTAGCAGATTTTTTTTTTATGGATCGGGGAAATCTTTTTTTTATTCTCCAACCAGATCTACAATATGAGCCTCTCTGACATAGTTGGCACAGGTGGCATCCAGGCTTTTTCTTAAAACAATCTTCTTCAACTTGGATCCCACCTAATGTTTTGAGCTACAGCTCCCATCAATCTTGACCAATATGACCAATAGTCAACAATGGCTGGTCTCAGCCCAACTCACCTCACAGGATTGTTGTTGTGGGGAAAATAGGAGGAGGCAGGTGTATTGGATATGTTTGCTGCCTTCTCTTGTTTGTAAAAATAATAAAGGCGGGATACCAATAAATAAAATAATAAAAATAATGTAGTCTAAAATATCTTGAGGGCAATATGTTGAAGCTCTTTTTCTGAATAATGAAGACAGATTCAATTTTCAATTCAACTAACTTTCAGTTCTAGAGACATCAGGACAAGTATCTTCTAACCCATTGGTTTGCCAATGATAATCCAGAATCTAGCTAATCTATAACATAACCCAGCATAAGTCAAATCGGTATCATGGAAAGAAGGCAGGAAGAATTAGATTGTATAATTAAAGAATCCTTCCATACTTGATTTTGGAAAACATACCGGTATCTGCTATTATTTCTTTTAACATCTTTGAAATTGCCTCACCACATTAAAAAAATAGCAAAACAAAATGAAAATACACTTTGACTCTCTGAAATAGCTAGTATAGAAATATTCTGATTAATAAAACTGAAACATCCATTTTAAAAAATGTTTGACAACTTTTAAAAAAATTCACTAGTTGAACTTGAATTTACATAGAAAATGAGTTTTTTCACCTTATTTAAAAGAGAAAAATTTCTACATTAATTCTAAATAATGGAAAAGATTGTCTTTAGATGGGAAAAATACAGTACAGGAAAGAGGATAGAATTTCTTAGGAAGAAAAGAACCGACACTAGAAAGAATTCAGAAAAACAGCCAGTAAAGTAGATTTATGAACAAATACATTTTTATAGAAAAAGCCAGATGGGCCAAAATTTAAAAGAGGTTTGTCCAATTTATTTGCTGAGAAATATTCAATCTGTCTATGTGGTTACTAGGAATCAAGGTAAACTTGATGGACTCTTCATCATTACAGTATCTCAACATTTAAAGAGGGATCGCCTTACCTGTCTGATGCCCATGGTGTCCTCCTTCCAAGTCTGATCTGAGCAAAAGAAAGTGCATTGCTGCTGTCATCTAGTGGTTGACCAAATACTGTCCTCTTCCCACATTTACCTCCGTTCTCATCCTTTCGTGTAATCAGCTGAAATCTAAAAAGTGAAACAAAAAAGAAAAAATTTTCAAGCAGCAATCCAGCGATCAGAAAGACTTAATACTGGAGTTTCTGAGATAGCTCAAGATATTCAAGCAACCTTTTTTTTTTTCTTTAATCAGTATCAACTTAACTCTATGTCTTTGATGCAGCTCCACCTATAACCTATAATTACCCTCAACTCTTCCCCTTCCAGCTTCTGGAGTAAAAGAGAGAAATCACTTGGGACAAAAATGTTAGAAATAATTAAAAAAAATAAATAAATAAAAAGCAAGCTACCTGGATGTGTGAGTAAGGAGTTTCTGGCACATCTCAATAGTAAGAATGTCAAGGCAACGGGCTCTTTGAACTTAATCAGGAGGTCATCTGAAGGGGGTTGTCACAGTTACCAGTGTTCCAGCATGGGATTTATTTTTGTATGATCAAAGGAGGCTGCGATCACATTTAAATGAATTTGCATGGAAAATGAGTGTTTTCACTTTATTTAAAAGAGGAAAAATCCTACATTAATCAATTAAATAGGCTGCAGGTGTTAGCATAAAAACATGTCTAACCAAAAATGCACAGTAGGAATTGTTTGTTTGTTTGTTTGCATTCAAGTTTAAATACAGCCTATTTTCATCCCCAGAGAGTGCAGAAAAAGAAAGTCAATCTGGGAATAATGAAGCAGTCTCAATGGACACACCTAAAATTGCAATATATTGCCTTGAAATAGTCCAGAACATCTACCTTCCATATGCATTCATATAGTATCCACTTTCCCCCTGATCTTTTGTGGAAATTGACTACATAAGGCTTTTTCTTGGCAGCATTCTGTTCTTATTTTTATTATATAATTTCAATATTCATGTTTTGTTTCCTGCACATTCAAGAAGTTCCAATTGTTAACTTGCATCAGTGCTTGTTCTTGGCTGTCTTTTATGTAATTAGCCAATGCATGCCTTTCTTCTTTGACAGTTTCTTTGACTTGAAGTAAACCTTTGCCTCCATTTCTGGTGAAATCTATCAATATTGCTATGGGGATGAGGGAGGAGAAGGCTTGGGTGCGAGCTGTAGGTGGCAACCAATGGTGTTCTATATTTCTGTTTTTCTGAGCTGTTCTTTAATAGGTCCTCCTTGGGAATTGATCTGACTATTGATTGATCCCACTAGGTGGGTAGTTCAACGTCCTGAATATGGATTTAATCCCATTAATTGAGCATCTCTGTCTAGTGGGTCAGAACAAACATGATTGTTATATAGGGCCTCGGTACAGATCTGTGATGGCGAACCTATTAGAGACCGTGTGCCCAAAAACTGGCCCCATCCCCGCTCCAACCCCTGCCCGTCCCCCACCCCGCCTGCTCGCAGGACCCCTCACCGCTTCCAGGGCCTGCCGCAGATTGCCCAGTAGCGCCATGGCAGCCACACCCTCTGCCCGTGCCCCACAGCATCGATTGTGCGCAATCGGGCGTGAGGGCAGAATCTTGTCTATGCTGCCTGGCTGCCATGTCCTTGGCTGTGCTGCTCCGCATGGGCCACACTCAGGGGCGACTCTCCTCCAGGGCGGCTGCTGGTGAGGAGGTTGCGGGCAGAGGCAAGGCTGGGGCAACAGCATGTGTGCCCACAGAGAGGGCTCCGAGTGCCGCTTCTGGCACCCGTGCCATAGGTTCGCCACCACTGGTATAGATGATAAGATTTCATTGTATGTTAATCCCATGCTAGTCAAATCATTTTGTACATCTGATGAAGCAAACTGAAATTTATGCCTTGAAAAACTGGTTAATCTTAAAAGACACTACCAGACTTTTCTGATTCCTGTCTGAATCTATTTGGTATTCTTTTAGTTTCTATATCATTTCTTTGGCTCCTGTCCCCTTCAAATAATCAGTTTCTCAGAAATTGGACTAATAGCAAGTTATTGTACTGCTTTCTTTTAAAAATAAATAGCTGTTCTTCAATGGACTAGTGCAAAGTTAATGTCGTTTTAAGATCTATTGTTGATGGTTGTCACATGAATGGCAGTTCTCATATGTTTTCATATATGATTTCCTCCTTATTATATCACAAATCATAAGATACAACACCGAGTATTGTATCTTATGATTTATGATGATTGTATTTATGATTATGATTATAATTTATCACTTGTTGCTAGTATATACAGGTAGTCCTCGACTTACAAGTTTGTTTAGTGACCATTCAAAGTTACAATGGCACTGAAAAAAATTACTTTTAACTATTTTTTACACTTATGACCATTACAGCATCCCCATGGTCATGTGGTTTACATTTGGATGCTTGAAAACTGACTCACATTTATGATAGCTGCAGTGTCCAAGGGTCATGTAATCACCTTTTGCAACCTTCTGGCAAGTCAGTGGGGAAACCAGATTCACTTAACAACTGTTATCAATTTAATAACTGCAGTGATAATAAATTTGGCAAGAAAAGTCATAAAATGGGGCAAGACTCACTTAACAAATTTATCACGTAGCAACATAAACTTTGGACTCAATTGTGGTTGTAAGTTGAGGACTAGAGTACCTATACAATGAGAGCTTATGCACCAAAGATAAATTCCTTATGTCCAATCACACTTGGGCAATAAAGAATTCTCTATTCTATTCTATTCTATTCTATTCTATTCTATTCTATTCTATTCTATTCTATTCTATTCTATTCCCAGGCCATTCTTAAAACTCATAACAAGCCACTTCAATTTTCATCTGTGACAAATATTTTTTTCCATAGATCAATTGCGAAGTGAAGTTGGAATTATGCATCTGTCCACAGAATGTAAGATCATCTTATATTTTATATTATCACTAACATATTTTTATGTTGAATTCTGTTGTAAACTCAAAATATATTTTTTGTTCCTATGAGCATTTGACTTTTATTTGCAAGCCAACCTTCCAAAATTATTTTTAGCCACTTGAAATTACACATCCTGATCTTCAGCTTCATTAATCTATAGCTTTATAGTTTTCATTGCGAATATGGTACCATGATGGTTGAATCAACGTCCGAATCTTTTTCAACACTAAATAGGAAGGTACAACTAAGTGCATCTTCCAACATAAGGACTTCTCCTGGACAGTATCAGTTCTCAGTTTATTTCTATAAGTGTGTGCCATCATATCCTGCATTTCAGTGTGCTAAAGAGGGGCAGCTGTCATAATTATATCTAGCAACGTGATCTGAAAGCACTATTACAACTAACCATAAGTATATCAGTGAGAATGCTCTGTTCCAAACAACTTTTTCCATTTCTTTGCATTCTTGTTCTGTTGCTGACAAGCCTGTTTGCCTGTTCACTGTATTGCTTCTGGTAATTATAATGTAGGAAGTATTTTAGAAGAGGGACATTAGAGACCTAAACTCTCTGCTGTAGGTCTGATTGTTCCCACTGTATATATTGTCTGTTTTGTCAGCTGGTTATACTTTGGGAGCTCTTCTTTGATCACCAAACAGAAGCAGAAATTTGGCAAGAAATTATGCGTTCCATAAAGGAGAGTACAGTATCCCAATTATATTGGTAGCATATTCTAAATTGCTTCAAATTGATTTTATTTATCAGTAGGTGCAGTACTTATTTATCACAGGAGTTTTTATACTATGTTAATAATCAAGACTAAGCAATTCATAACAGTAACATAAAAAGCATTAGAACCAAAATCATGCAAATCGTAATATTTAATAATAATAATTAAAAGTTCTTTTTATTGTTGCATGCTGCCCAGAGTCCTAAAGCATTTGAGTGGCTTATTATAAATACTGTAAATAAGTACAGGCAGTCTCTGAGTTACAAACAAGATCCATTCCTAAGTCTATCTTTAAGTCAGATTTGATGGTAAGTGGAAACAGTTATTTAGCATTAGTCAAATGTTTGCCTTAATATATATTTTACCATTTTATGCACATAAAACACTTAAGAAACATTTTTGGAATCTTTTAATAACTAATTCTTGATAAAGACCAGAAACCCCTTCTGGAGCAGCCATTTCTATAGGAATCCATCTTCTGAATAATAGGAGAGTTCTTACTTTTGACAAAGTATATTAAACTTTGTCTAGCACAGTGGTTCTCAACCTGTGGGTCGGGACCCCATTTGGGGTCGAATGACCATTTCACGGGGGTCGCCAAACAACGCAGTCCACCATTTTTCCCCCTTTTCCTTAGCTGTGCTACTCCCTTTTATTCTATTGGCTTTTGAAATCCAATAGAATAGACTCTCTTGAATAGAGTCTAATTCTATTGGCTTTCAAAAGCCAATAGGAATTGTCCAGGCTGTCTCTGCCCTGCTGAGCCTGCCAAAAGTCCCATTCTGCAAACGGTGCTACACCAGTTGAGTAGTCCTCGACTTACGACCGGCTGGGGGTCGCGGCATTAAAAAGGTTGAGAACCACTGGTCTAGCAGGTTGCTATAAGATAGGGAAAAGAGTCAAACTTTGGTAACCCCAACCATGCAATCAAACACCTTTTTATGTGGATATTAAAAAGGAGTGGGATCATCTTATCTTCTTTAAAACCCTCCTGTTTCCCAGTGCAGGGGAAAGAGGGAATGGCCTTGAAGGCAGGAGGAAGAGCTGCTGTTAAGGCAATAGTCAGATAAGAGTGGATTGAGACTGGGCCAAAAATACATGAGAAAACATCTCAGACAAGCCCCTCCCAAGTTCACATCAAGATAGAGGGAGGGAGGGAGAAGCACATTCAGACTTGCAAGATGGTTTTACAGTGCAATAAAAATACAGTAGTCCTGACCTACATGACATTGATTTCTTAATCTGATATACCTTGTTAGGCTGACATCTGGAGACCTCCCTGCTTCCCCCCCCCTCCAAAAAAAAAGAAAAGAGTGTGGCTGCTTCTGTTTTAATTGAAGGAGGAAGGGAACGTACTCCAGTATCTGATGTGCACTATTAGGTCTGTCCCCAGAGGAAACCTGTACTTGAGGGCAGCTCAGATTAGACAGCAACAGAATCGTTTACCTCAACAGCTACTGGAATCTGAGAG